GGCCTGTGGTCCCCGCGTTTCGCGACCGCTGCCGCCTCTGGCTGCCCAGAAAGGCGCCTTCCCACGGCCGCGGCTCAGCCCTGCTGGCCCCGCGCCGCCGTCCCCGTGCTGTGCCCCAAGGCCACGGCTGCCTTTTCCGTTCCCTTCCTGGGGCTTTTTGTTTTTTAAACCAGCCCCATCACTTCAAACTTGCCTGTCGCCCGACACCAACTGTTGCAAGTTCTGTGGTAACTGCTTCTCTGAACTTCTAGGTCGAAACTGCTCCTCCCAGGAGCCTAAGAAGCAGAATTAAGAATAAATGCCCGGATGCCCGTTGAGGCACTGAGTCCTAAAGTTTTCAGAGGTGAGAAGGATATATTTTATTAAGTCATTCCAAGATAGCCGGCTCATGTAAACCCAGAGAAAGTTGAAACTAAGTTTTAAGTTAAATAAAAAAGTGGGAGGTTTCTACTAGCAAGGCTGGTCACGGACAAAATTCTCAAGTTGGTGTGTTCAGAACCCCTCCTGTGTTGTGTGGAAAGGGGTTTAAGTTCGGCTAAAGTAAGAATAGTATTTCAAAAGAAGCATTAATTAACAATAATTAAAGGAAAATGGCTTAATATTTCAGGAAAGGACTCAAATATTTTCGATAACTACGGGGATTTTTAGGCAAAAACCTGGAATAATTAGATCACTCTCGCAGGGTACTACCTATTCCATTTAAACATGATGCTGATCTTAATTACTTGACTGTTATTTGGGAAAGAAAGAGAAAAGAGAAAAAAGAACGAAAGGGAAAGGGACAACGTGCAGGGGTTGGGGTTGGGGTTGGGGCAGGAACTGAATGCAAAACAAAAATTAAAAACAGAAAGTAGATCCCTCTTTACCAACAGGCCCAGCACACTAGGATTCTAGCCTCGACCCCCACCTTAGGAATTTAAGATTAAGGACGGTGCATTCCTGCTTTTAGATATTTAAATTTTAATTTGAAGACTTAATTTTAATTACTGTAGTAGGTAAAACAAAGTCGTTAAATACTTGACATCAGGGATTCCATTGGTGTATTGATTTTTGTCTTTTCAAAGGCTGTGGTCCTGGATCTCTGAACCAAGCACTTATGGTATGGCGTGTCCATCCATAAAGAGGTGTACACTAGGTGGGCCTCTTGGGTAGGAGGGGTTTGAGAATAGAAAGAGACTAGAAAGTCACCTTCAGCCCCCTCCACCATGTTAAAACCAGTAATTTTCCACAATTCTCAGGAGTCTACAATAATTCATTGGCTTAAGAGTATGTCAAATGAACATGAAGAAGCTATTGAGTCAGAAAGTATTGAATTTATGTGTGCATGAAGCTGTCCTGAGTGGTGAGGGGACTGGACAAACACAAGATAAAAGATTACTATGGACAGTCGTCCTGCACGTGTGACGGCAAGACATTTCTGTATCGCCACCTGAAACTTCCTTTTTTCACCGCTAGGTGGTGGGTTTGAGTCTTTCGTAGCTTTAACCAAGTTTCTATGGCTTTTTGGAAGTATGTTTCATAAAGTTTCAAATGAATGGACAACATGCGACACTAAAATGAGTTAATAATGAATGTGTTCCATTATCCCGTATAAGTTATTTAAAAATCATCAAGCCAAGGGTATTACTTCCTCAACACAATCTCTTTAAGAGTATTAGACATACAGATTATAAGAGGGTCCTAGAGACTTGAGAGACCAACTCTAATATGAGGTATAGTTTCTCTACTTTGAGATATGGATTTGGAAGCCCAGACAAGTAAAGTAACTTGACCAAAGTTACATAGCTGCTGGGTACTGAGAGGCAACAAAAGCCAGAAGGCAGGTTTCCCGTTTTCTAATTCAGTGTGATTTCAGCTACTCCACTTTGAATTGCAATTACTGCTTCATTTATTTTAATTTGGGAACCAACATGTAGTTGACCTCTCACAAAGGTCTCTCACAAAGGTCTACTTGGAGACAAGGGTACGGGAACAATAATAATAACATGTATGAAATACCTACTTATATGTTTAGCATTGTAAATTTATTTTATACCATCTGAATAACAATGCCATAAAGTAGGTATTATTTTTACCTACTTTTTGCATTTTCCAGATTAGAGATTCAACATTCAGAGGAGTCAAGTGCCTTTGTACAAGGTCACAAAGCTACCAAATGGCAGAACCAGAATTCTGATTAAGATCTCTCTGACAGCAAAATTCTCTAAATTGTCCTGAAAGTAGAAGCAGGACTCTACAAGCAGAGGATTCATTTAATTCTGTATAAGAGATGATGTCCCATTGCACAGGGAGTAGTTTGACAAACATTTTGATTTCCTATCACATGTCAGGCAGTGTCCTAGGCAGCAAGGATACATAGATACCTAAGACATAATTTCTGACCTCTGATGCTCTTGGTTACCCTGGAATAGGGCCTTAATTGCAAGCCCTTTCCCATTCTGGGGAGAGTCAAGCAGTATAACACAGTGGCTAAGAGAATAGAATCTGAAGACAGAGCTTGTCTGTATCCTGGCTCCATCCATTAGTAGCTGTGTGACCTGGACACAGTTTTCTGGTCATCCATTTCCCCATATGGAAAAGAGAATAATAGTCTACAAGATAGGGTTTGGGTGAAAATGAAATGAAATTTTAGTCATGTACAGTACCTGACACATCAGTAGCATGGAATGAGTATCAGTTCTCATGATTAGGCCTTCCTAATCTGTCTCCCATCTGTCTAGCCTGCAAGGTGACAGGAAAGCGAGATGCTTGTGCAGTTTGGAGTCAATCTGTGACAGCATGAAGGAATGATTGCATGACTATGGCCTTTGAAAACAACATTCTCTGAGTCATCTTTTATAGTTCTTACAGTGAACAATGGATACAGAAAACAGAGTACATAAGAAGAGTAAGCTCTGTCTGTGAACCATAGAACTGGTTGATCAATATTACAGCAACCTTGTGTCTCATTAGTTGGAGGTGGCATGTAACAGGGTAATGACCACAGAGAAATGAGAGGATGAAATGGGTTGGGACCTCTAAGAAAGAAAAAGTGTCCTGAAGTGAAATTAAAAAAAATATGTATAGTTAACAGATACTTTTTAAAGCATTTTTCATTGGATTAAGTTATTATTCCTCACAACAACCCAGTCAATTTTCCCCATTTTTTAAAGAACACAGAGAGGCTGAGTAATTTGCCCAAGGTCAAAGGTAATAGTAGATTTGGATTCAAACTCAGGTTATCTGTCTGCAGAGACAGCTCTTTAACCTTCACACTTCTGCCTCAATTCTACTAGGGGAAATGGGACCTAGAATGAGACAAGACCTAGACAGAAGGGAAATCCTGTCACTTGGTGGAACTACTCATGTCAGGGCTCTTCTTGTTTAGTAAAAGACTCAGAGTTTCTCTCTTCTCAGTCTGTCTGCCTGTGTGCCACTGGCCTGGAAAATTGTATGGCTTTACTTTATGGTGTGTGTGTGTGAAATCTATTTTTCTTTTAAAGTTTTTTTGAGAGATATTTCGCATACCATTCACCCACTTGAAGTGGTTTTTAGGAGATTCACAGAGTTGTGCAACCTTCACCACAGTCACTCTTAGAGCATTTCAGTTAGCCCAAAATGAACTTAATGTCTGTTAAAAGTCTCTCCCCATCCCCTGCTCTCCTCAGTCCCTGGCACCAACTAATTTACTTTCTGTCTTTATGAATGTTCTTATTCTAGACATTTCACATAAATGGAATCATACAACTTGTGATCTTTTGTGACTGATGGCTTTTACTGAACACAGTGTTTTCAAGGGTCATCTGTGTTGTAGCACTTATCAATACCTGCTTCCTTTATATTGCCAAATAATGTTTCATCATATGGATATACAACATTTTATTTATCCATTCCAGTTGATGGATATTTTGATTATTTTCACTTTTTGGCTACTATAATAATACTGCTATGAATATTTGTGCATAAATTTTTGTGTGGATATATATTTTATGTTTTTTTAAAAATATGAGTATGAATGTTTATCATACCTATTTTGAAATAATTTCAAAGTACAGAAATATTGCAAGAACTACCATATCCTCTTCACTCAGATTTCCCAATTGTTGATACGTTACCACATCTTCTTTCACTCTCTCTTTGTAAGTATCTGTATACATGGTTTCATTGTTTTGGTTGTCTTTTAATGAACAATCTGATAGAAATCTACAGACTTGTTACCGTATCACCCCTAAACATCCAGTGTGTATATGCACAAAGACTCTGTTCTTCATAACCGAATTTAAATAATATTTTCCCTTCTCTTTATTTGTTCATTCATTGACTTGTTTATTTCAATATGGACTCAGGGACTCCTGTTTCATTCAATGGGTTGTAATGTTTTGCTGTCATTATTTATTTTCATGCTCAGATTATCCCAGTTTTGGCTAGTGGGAGTTCCTTCAAGCTGGCTTTTTGTCTAGGCATATCCCCATCATTCTATAAACATTTCCTTACTTTCTGATACAACTAAATGTTTTAGGTTTATTTTGTATTTTCCCTGTGTCAGCTGTGGAGTCAGTCATTTCTCCAAGGAGGCCTGATTACTTTTGGTGGAGGATAGTTATTTAGAAATCAAGATCTGGGCTCTCAGTGTGTTCACTGCTACCAGGGTATCATGGTGACTAGGTCCTGTCAGCTGTCAAAGCTAGGAAATATATATATGTATACACATACATATACACATGCATATATTTATACCTATTTCTAAATGTATTGTCAAATATATTTTCAAA